ATGTCATTGTTCTTGCAAAATTCTATCATGCGATCTCCAGCATTATTTCTATCACCAAGACCATATTTTCCAATTATCGGTGAATCTTTTTTGTTTCCAACTTTTACATTCCAGTCACCAGTGATAATCAACACATCTTGGTTGCATGTTTGATCAATTTCCGACTGTGGAAGTTGGTAAGAATCTTCAATTTCCCCACCTTTGGATTTGGTAGTTGGTGTGTAAATTTGAATAATAGAAGTATTAACTGGTCTTCCTTGGAGGCATATGGATATTATCCTATCACTGACAACATTGTACTTTAGGATGGTTCTTGAAACATTCTTAGCACACCATTCCTCTTCATTTTGTCATTCCTGGGATAGTGGACCATGCAGTTGTCTGGTTCAGAATGGGGCTTTCAAAAAAAAAAAAAAAAAGCAGAAAAAAACCATCACTGCCATCAAGTTGATTCTGATTCATGGTGATGGTGACCCCCTTTGTTTCCGAGGCAGTAAGTCTTTATGGAAGTAGATTGCTCAGTCTTTTCCATAGAGTGGCTGGTGGGTTTGAACCACCAACTAGCAGTCAAATGCCTTAGGCACTATACCACCAGAGCTTAAGTTGCCTCTAAAACAGTCAATTGAATGAAGATGCTGATTGACCTAGTTGAAGAGTCATTTTTTGCACAGTAAACTCTGATTTGCCCTGAACTCAAACCATTAAATGGTAAAATAAAATGATGTTTATTTTTATCCTCAATATCTTGTTATGACCAACTTATGAAAAAATAGAGCCATGAGAGGCAGTCTAATTTCCAAAACTTTTTGTAATTAAAATTCTAAAATTCTGCATAGTGATACAGTTGCCATGATGGTCATTATGGTAAATCTTAATCCACACAAAATAGCAAAGTACTTTTGGAATCATTAAGGAATGAATAATTTCCATTTGGTTTACTGACAGTGTTAAATCTAAGTTAAATACTTTTTGATTATTTAAATTGGTAACAGTTTATTGTTAATATATTGTGATTATCAATTGACATAGAACTTTTAATTCAACTGGAGCAAAATAAGACCACTTTTGCAGGATATCTGGAGAAGCAGAGGAGTATAGACATTAATAGTTCAAATCCCTGATTTGCCATTTACTAGCCATGTGAAAGTTTGAACAAATTACTTAACCACAGTGGACCTCTGCTTATCAGTAAATTGGAGAAAATAAATGGTACCTACCTAACTAATTAAATGAGTTTAAATGTATAAAGTGTCTTGAATAGTATCTGTTACATAGGGATCACTCAGCTTTTGTTAGTTTATTGTTATTGTTGTTGTCATAGCACTTCCAGTTTTCCTGGTACTGTTAAATATTTATTTCTCATTTGAACCTCATATCCCTGTAAAGTAAGTAAGACAAGTGTCATAAATAAATAGGGGGTAAAACAAAGTGTCTTGCCAATTGTTCAAAGCTAGTGAGAGTGGATAGTGGGGCTAGATCCCTATCTCCTGATTGACAGCTCATCCCTCCCATCATATCATCACCTTCTCCAGCCACACTGTATAGATGGAGTGCTCTTATAATATGGTTCTCTGTTTCTGGGGCATTCTTCCTCAGTAGCCATGCCTTCCTGGTATGCCAGGTTACTATTGAGGAGCTCAGAACTTGATAGCTCTCAAGATCAAGGATTACTTTACTGACTTTAAGTTGTTCAGTAGCATCACAGGATGTCACATTTGACAAAGGCTTATGTAGATTACCACTTTTTCATGTTGGCCAAATCTTTTTTGATCTCCTTCAACTTCAATAGCTTCCCAAATCACATTGATAAAAAAAGAAGTGTTAACAGAAAAACTGAGAGAATAAAACTTGTAAATGAAACCTCTGTGCCAAATTCTGAGTTTGTTTTGTCTTGTTTTCTGAAAGAAGTGTCATCCAGGAATCTTCTTCAGTGGGTTTTTGTTACCTCATGCCACAAAACACTCCCATTAGCACTGAGAAATTCCCCACAAGAATATAAATAATTCTGACACTTTAGCACCAAGGATATTGCTTAGATCCATACGTGACCTTCTAAAAATAAAATCTGGACCAAATAGGTGGAAACTGAATGACCTAGTGCTATTGACTGGGCAAACACTAGAAAAGAGTGCTGTTAACACCAAATGGTGTTATCTGTAGACAGAAATACAGAATGTGAGAGAGCTATATAAACACTGCTCAAGGAGACAAATGAAAGAGAAATACATGTCAAAGCTGATTTGACATATCCACCAGTATTTTATAGAACCTTGCTCTTCTGATGCTTCTTGGACTCACATCCTGCAATTATGCACTTGGGTTTTAACAATGGAAGACACCAGAGTTGATGAAATTCAAGATCACATGTAGTCAGTGTCATAGCTAAATTAGAAATTTTAACTCATTGGGATTGCTTTTTGTAGTCTAACCTTCAACACTATTTAAGAAAATCAGTGTCTCTGGGTTATCAGAGGGGGATTGGCATGGATATAAAATATTAGCCTGTTCTTTCTCCTTTGGCCTCAGGAGCTAGGATGAAATCACATGATTTAATTGCTCAGATCCATGTGGCTCCTCTGAGATAGGGCCAGATGCAACCAGAAGGATTTATAGACTGTAAAATTCAGAATGGATTAGAAAAGCATTTCTATGTTCTGCCCAACACATCCTAAATCAACGGTCCCTGAATGAACCAGAGCAATCTCTGACTTGTCTAGTGGGGAGGTTGTCATGGCAACTGACTGGCAAGCTCAGCCAGTGGAATGTGAATGCAAACAATGGAGTGATAAGATTGTGTACAGAGCAGCATGCCGAGATAGCTGCTTCTACCCAGGTACAGTGATGCATCAGTAGAAGTGTGAAACTGTCACTGCATTTTGTACCTTCTTTCAGTTCTGGCACCTCATTTGAAATGTATCAAGTGTCCCTTCCCAAGTTTCTGTAATGCATTGCTGCTGATAGATAACAGAAGCTATGGGAAAAATCACACCAGTAGGTAGATGCAGTGCTTTATGAAGTCCCGGAGAGCTGTTAGGGTAACACCACTCAAAATATCCTAATGGAGGAAGAACACCTAAGGGAAATCCTATGACTCTTTAGTGCCACCTTGTGTCTTGTTTAAATCCAGTTGCCTTTGAGTAGATTCTGAGTGGTGGTGTGCGCAGAGTAGAACAGCTCCATAGATTTTCAAGGCTGTGACCTTTTGTAAGTAGAACACCAGACCTGTCCTCCAGAGGCACCTACCTGCAGGTAGGTTCTAACTTACCCCTTTGGTTACTGGTTGAGTACTTACCTGTTTGTGTTACCCTGGGGTCCTCTCCTGTCTTCTTCTTGTTAGGTGCCATCGAGTCACCTCCGACTCAGAGAGACACTATGAACAACAGAACAAAACACTGCACGGTCATGTTCTAGCCTCATAATCCTTGCTGTACTGAGCCTGTGGGTTGCAGACAGTGTCAATCCATCTCATTGAGGGCTGTAGTAGAAACCACATGGCAGGCCATTGATTCAAGTCCACTCAAAGTCCCAAGGTCAGAAGAGCATGGCAGGCTGCTGAACAATGACACAGTTATGTGCAGGGTCCAAGTGTGCCATAAGCTAGAGGCCACTCCCAAAGCTGCTTCTTATATACAGGAAGCAGACCACATCCTGAAAGCAGCTACTCAGGTGCTTGTGGTAGATCCCACCATGGAGTTGATTGCCATTCTCATCATGGGGAATAACTACTACCAGCTGCCCAGCCATTCAACTTGGGACTTTCAGTGGACTTGAATCAATGGCCTGTCATGTTGTTTGGTAACACTGGAACTGTGCCTTTTCATTTATTGACTTTGGGTTGTCAGCCTCAGCAGCCAGCAGCTGTCTGAGTGAAGAAAAGCCTCCATCTTCAGTGGGCCAGAAGCAGGGGGCAGAGCTAAAGCTCAAGGCTGAGGGGCTTTCACCCAGTCCCCAGAGCCTGGCACTTTGAACTCAGACTTAAATCCTCCAAACTGTGAGAGAATAAACTCCTGTTTGTTAAAGCATCCCATTTGTGCTATATTCATATCAGAGCAGCACTATGTAACCAGAACAAGGGCCTTTCCCTTTGTTGTTGACCCTCCACTTTATCAAGCATGATATCCTTCTCCAAGGAATGGACCCTTCTGACAATATGACCTGACAATTTACTAAAAGCTTACCTTCAACCCCTTCAATGGGGAGCAGCAGGCATACATTGAAAAAGTTAGAGCTGGATCCTGTTGGAGTTTGTTAGTCTCTTTTGAAGGAAAAAAAAAATGCACAAAAGACTTCTAAGCCTCAAGTTAATCAGAAAAATGAAAATTAATAGTTCTGGTAGAATCTCAGAATAGGGAAAAAAGAAACTCTCAAACACCAAATGCAAAAAAAAAAAAAAAAAAAAAAACGCAACCACTGCTGTGGAGTCGGATCCAACTCATAGTGACCCCCCCTTGGGTTTCCAAGGCAGTATCAATACGGAAGTAGATTGCCCAACTTTCCTTCTGAGGAGTGGCTGGGGTTTGAACTGCCAGCCTTGTGGTTAGCAGTCAAATGCCTTAGGCACTACACCACCAGAGCTCCTTATCAAATATCAGTCCTACATAGCATTGCAAGAAGCTGCTTGGTGGGCTGGGGATAGGGAACACAGCTGATATAGACAGACCCAATTGAGCATTCTTAATGTTGCCATCAGTAATAAATACTTGCAAAGGAAATTTAACCTGTTCAGCCACACTGGTAGCATAAGTGAACTGGTTGAGAAAAATAAAATTTGAATATTACCAATTCCACTTTATAACTCTCTTTTTGGGGGGCAATGGGGATCAATATTGTAGCAGTTGGTGAAATGGAACCTCATCCCCACCTCTCATTTCTAAGTCAAACCAGACCCACCACCTTCTACTGGCCCACCATCAACCAGCACCATTAAAAAACAAGAAGTCCCACTTAATTTCAGCAGAAGTATGTAATGACCAACCTGTGTTTCTGTGTATCTCTTCTAGGGTTTGAGTTCTTTGAAACAAGTGCCAAGGATAACATTAACGTCAAGCAGACATTTGAGCGCCTTGTGGATATCATCTGCGACAAGATGTCAGAGAGTTTGGAGACCGACCCAGCCATCACTGCTGCAAAGCAGAACACAAGACTCAAAGAAACCCCTCCTCCACCGCAGCCCAACTGTGGCTGTTAATGTCCACACACACACACAGGCAGCTCCAGGGGGTTTGGTTACCAACAAACAGCATTTATAAATGGTTGATTAGCCTTCATTTACACTGCCTAATAATTATATGATGAAAGTCTTTGATGTTGATGGCTCATATATGCATTCAATTCCTGGGAGTTTTCCTGTGTTCATATGTGGCAAATATATGATCTTAAATTTGTAAGGACTATCCATCTATAAACATCTGGTATTTGCATGTGACTATTTATTTGTCCTGTAGGATCTATTTTTTTTTTTTTAATTTCTTCTCAGTTATGCGACTGCTGTGACCTCAGATGAAAATTTCACTATAACTGATTTTTGTGCCACAGATTCAAATTATGCTCTTCATTTGTAGAGATGATGACCAAGGAAGTGTGTGTGTCTGTGCATGCGCACATGCGTGCACACACACGTGCACACAAGCAGAGAAGATCTCAAGAGATTTCTTTTTAGTCTTAACTGATATCAGGTGGAAATATTACTCATTATCAGGGAGTCTGTCATGGGGCTGATTAGTTTACTGGTGAAGAAATGTGTCTGATCTTCACTATTATTAATATCTGAGGAAACAATTGAGTATAAGGAAATTGAAATATTTTTTTTAATGCCCTTGAAAATTTCCTAAAGTCTTAACGTTAACATGACTAGAGGTAAAATTAAACAAATCTAAGTTTACATGTTTAAATAAGCAATTTCTCTAACCCAGGACTGCTATTTCCAATGACTTGATTCAATACTCTGAATATTTGGGGCACTGAACCAACTGAAGAATCTCTGAGTGGTGCAGTTGATTAACACAGTCCTCTGCTAACCTAAAAGTTGGAAGTTCACTCAGCAGTGCCACAAAAGAAAGCCTTGGTGATTTATTTCCCAAAAAATCAGCCATTGAAAACGCTATGGAGCACAGCTCTACTCTGATACAGATGGGGTCGTCATGGGTCAGAGTTGACTTTATGGCAACTGGTTGGTTGAAACAGACTGAGATTTATCTGCTAAATGCCAATTATGCAACAAGCATTTTAATGAAGGAAGGAATAGCTGTAGAATTCCAAGGGCTGGGCTCCTCTCATTTCCTTAATGACTTGCCCCTCATCACACACACCACCACAACCACCACCATGGTCAGTTTCTTGGAACCATCACCAGCTGTTGAAATGGAGGATCTGTTGAAGCTTCCTAGGAATTTTTTTTCCAATAATCTGTTCAGCATAGCTAAATTCTCTTACCTAATTAGTGGTGATTTAAACACTGTCTCAATGAACCCTAGGTTAAAGAAATGACAATTTCCATTGTTAATCTTTCAATGCAGGTGCTCTAAAGAGCATCCTCATTGTATAAGTCTGTAAACATGTTAAGTTACTCTGAGAATACTCTGGAACTGAGGGTCATAGAAAGACTTGATGCCATAAGTAATTTGAACATGGGAGGAAAATTGTTCAAAAACCCAGAAATTTTATTCCAGATGTCTTGAATGTCTGAATAACAAGCAAACAACAAATCCTACCAGCTGTGCTGAGCCCTAGGGGGAAATCTGGCTTCTCCATCACCATCCAGCATTATTTTCATCTGGGATTATAAAAAAGTGGCAGATGCTGTTGGCGGATTTGAAAGGGCAGTTCCATTAGGTGGACTTTCCTTTTTTTTTTTTTTTTGGATGATCATGTTAAAGGTTTCGTGCTCACTCACTCACTCACTCACTTGCTTTGTCTCTTTTCACAAACAGACACTTCCCATGAAAGCATTAGGTGCAATTTATTGGGCAAGGGAAAAACATGCATATGTCTAAAGATATCTCTGTAAAATGTCAACAAGTCACATACACAAACTAGGTCACATACCTCATTAGTATGTTGTTATTGTTAGCTGTCCTTGAGTTGGCCCCAGCTCATAGAAACCCTATGTTCAATGGAAGGGAACACTGCCCAGTTGTTCATCATTCTCATGATCGGTTGCAGATCAAATCGTTGTGCACCATAGGGTTTTCCTTGCTGATTTTTGGAAGTAGATCACCATACCTTTCTTTCAAAGTGCCTCTGGGTGGACTTGAACCTTCAACATTTTGCTTAGTAGCTAAGTGCATTAGCCATTGCACTACCCAGGAACTCACCCCCATTAGTAAGTTAGAAGATAAAAAAAAAAAAAAATTATAGGAGAGAGTATTTGGGATGTTTTAACCTTATTTGTGTTAATTCTCACCTTTTTAGCTTAAGATTCCACTAATAGGTAAGAAATGTCCATTTTGGCACCTTCACAAGCCTTTGCTTAGTGAAGACAGGAAAACATCAATGTCCTATTCGGTTTTTAATGGGGCAATCAGCTTCAAAGTCAAAAAACTTACTGGGGAGCAAAGGGAAAGAAGAGAGGAAAGGGTGTACATAAAAACAGATTTGTTTGCAACAGTATCTTCACTATTAAACATGGCAAGGTCTCACTGTTCTATGCCAGCCTGGGGAGCAGAACTCAGCAATAGCCAGCAAGTCATTTCCATGGAATATTCAACACTTTCTATTGCCCAACCCCCTTTGGAAGTGAAGGCTTCCTGGTTGATTCTCTGTCCTGAAGCTCATGTCCTGCTATAAACTTTATTCCAAGTAATTGAGTGGGAAGTTTCCAGAGAGGATTGTCACAGGATTCCATGGAGGAACACCTGTGTTCCTTCTATAAAGTACATGGGAAGAGAGGATTAGCTCTACTCCTGATCTCATCAAGAGATCCTTGGATTTAAAATCAAATTTCGTAATTGAGAAACAAGTCCAGGGTTAATTAAGTGAGCTTCTATTGGCATCAATCTATATTACTTATAAATCACAGCACTGTAGTCTCAAGGTTTTTCAACCTTTTGGCCAATACACACAGACCAAATACACCTACATCTTCTCCATCTTCCCCAACAGGCTAAATTACCACAGTCGATTTTTACCAAGGACCCATTTGAACCTGCATTTTAAAAAGCAAAATACCTTAAAAAGTATATGCTTGTGTTATTTCCTATATCTTAGCCACACACTCCTTTTTTGTCTTTGATGCAATTAATGTTTAAAGTATGGATTTCTTTTGCTCTGACATTCATCTCCCCACCATAACAATCCTTGAATTATTCATTGGGAACAAATCTTGATTTTGTTTTGAGTTGGTGCTTTTCAGAACTCAGGTGTTGGGACATTCCTTTCCTTTCCTAACTCACTTGAAACACTAGGTTGAATTCATCTCCTCTAAATAGCTATCTCTAGAGTGGATCAGCATTTCAGCCTTTTGGGATGAGAATGGAAGTAGAAGGTGGAAGAAGTGTCTTAATTCTTAAGATAGTAGTTTACAACGTTAGCAACTCATCTACAGGCTCATAAATGGAAGTGCTTCAGGATGATGAAATCAGTTCCTTGTGGCTGCCCAACTGAATAGCTTCTACTGTCTTGATGAATTTCTAAGGACTGAGAGAAGCACAAAATTCTTTAGCTCACTTGCTGTCAGTAGCCTGATAACTCAGTACTAAGATTTTCATTTGGAAAGGGAAATATTAATATGCCTTCAGTGGTAGCATTGTTATGATAAAAATGAAATGTAATTTCCACAAAATTACAACCCAAATTATTTAAGACACTTAATAATGAAATACAGATTTCATGGACTTAATACTTAACCCAGATCAATTGTAGTCTTTGTGTTTAGCAAATTAGTTACTTTGTAGGAGCCAATTTAAACTTCCAATTTTACCCACTGAGAATAGACTTTTGGTATGCAATATTCATTTTGAAAAATAGAAGCACTCCACTATTAACTGAACTTCAATGAAGCAGCATTCATGTCGACTGTGATCTATCATAATTGGCAGTTCATTGTGACGTGCTTTATCTGATATGTATCTTAGTGCATGGTGGGATGTACTATGCCATCCTTTAGTCAGCTGTGTGGCATTTGTGGGACTATATTAAAAATGTATCTGGACTCTACCAAGCTATTCAAAGCTGAGGTAGCAGCTGCATGTGAAAAACTGTGATAGAAATCTTATTTTAAAGTCTTGACTAAACTCCTTCTAGACCAAAAAGTTACTCTGTGTTTGTTAATAATTTTCACAGTATTGTTGGAATGCTTGATTGGGTATTCTGGTATTGCATTCTTGGGAACTGGTCTGTCTTTCTCTCTGAAGAGTCCTTCCTTCCTCCCTAAATTACAGTTTGCATGACTGGTGACTGAAACTTTACTTCCTTGGTGTGTAGACTCACTCAGTGTGCAAAGTCAGGGTGCATGGGAACGACTAGATTCACGTTGCCTTTCTAATCACCCTGCAAAGTGTGATTGCTACAGCTCTGCTTAGCTCTGCCTAGCTGTGCTTTCTTCCCATGATTTAGTAGGTTATCTAGTAGAATAGTGAAGTCTCTCTGATGGACTGAGCCATTTTAGTATTAAAGTCCACTTTTTAGAGTTCTTTATATTTTAGGTGAATTTTTTACCAATGTCAATTAAAGATATACATCAGTTTTATATCCTGGAATGAATTGGGACAAATTGGATAAAAGATGGAAGTTTATGATGATTAGAATAAAAGAGGCCTTTATCTTTACATTGCACCCAAATGACTCTGGGTTCTAGAAATACAGTATCCCCTAAGGGGTCGAAAACAGAGCTGGAGAGTTTATCTGAAATCTATCTACCTATTGTTACCAGTACTTCTGAGTAAATGTAGTTGTTTTTATTTTTTTCTTAAAAAAAAAAAAAAAACTGTTACTGAAATGCTTGACACTCCAGTGAAATAATATTCCCCTATATAATAATAATAAGGTTGTAAATAATATGAAGATTAAAATATTGACTCTTAGATCACATGCATAGTGCTGCCCTCCCAGCATACACACAATCACACACAGAGAGCCTTTTTTTAATTAAGAGAAAATTCTGCATACAGTGCTTTCTCAGTGCTTGGAAAAAGGCAGCCTTTGTCACGTTCCACCTGTAACACATTTTGCTGAAAAGGCTTCTCAACACTGATTTGATTTGATTAGGCTGTGTGCCTGTGTACTAAATTGCCATTACACACAGAGAACAGAGATAACATCCATTTTGCAAACACTCTAGACAACAGAAATGAATTTAACCTAACCTCAGTCAGGGCACAAGTTATTAAGATCATACGGTCTAGTTAGTGGACAAATTGAACATTCTATTTGCAATTCTCTTTTCTCTTCCTATTATTATTATTTATCATTTTAGTTTTTTTTT